AATTATTATATAAATAAGTAGAACGTACACGTGTGGAATACATGGATGCGCTGTTAACCAAACGCTTTCAGTAGACGACGGTAGGTCACAACACCCTCAAAGTGTGTTTCTCAGCTGAGGAGTGCACTGGTGGTGATGTTCCCTGTAATGCTAGCCGCAGCTCCTGTGGATGGAGACGAACCGCCTTTTCTTTCCCTTTTTGTCGACTTAATTCACCTGGAATTCCTGGATGTCATTTTCTAGAGCATCGGTATTCATTTACATCACGGCCTGGATATCCTGGGAATGAATTGAAATGGTTTCCAGAAGCTGTAGCTAGTATTTACTGTATTGTAGGCCGACTCAGATTTGGAGAAATATATGTAGTGTTGATGTCTGTGCACCGGTCTGTGACAAGATGAGGTTGAGGGGTAAGGCTGAGGCAGTGTTCTTATTAATGAGAGAAGACTTTGAGAGTCGGGACCAGGCTGCAGGGGAAGACTCAGCGGTCGATACCCTAAAAGTTGGAGTCACAGCCTACAGGGCATGCCGTGGTCTTCGATCAGAATAAAAACCTCTCCTCCTCCTCATTGTCGAATTCTGCACCGCCACCAAGATGCTCCGAGGGATTCGGCTGACACAGCCACTTGCCAGGGTCGTGGTGAGCCACGTTCGCATCCAACGCCTTCATCGTGGTACAGTACTAGCTTTTGTGCTTCGTTCGTTAATATCTTATCCGACCGCTGGGACTGAGACCAATGAACCTGTGTTCTTTCTTTCATCTGGCAGAGTCTGTGCCAGTGTTGATACGGTCTGTTCTTGTTGTCTCTGGAGTAGCAGCAGAAAAACATTGGAAGATTTTCGGTCTTTTCCGACTCGTTTCCAATCAGGCGCCTCTACCACCGACCTTACAGACCCACTATATCTCTGCCATCCATCTGAACCCTTCATACAGATCGCTGAGTCTGGGTTACGAGACTAGCCTAGTAGCACTGCCGCGCAAATACATTCGAGAACTGTGATGTGCCGTATCGCCTAGAGCGCTCACGGCTTCGGTACGTATACTGTACACGAAACGGGGTTCAACGGACAATTCGGTTACGGTACACGGCCCTATGTAGCTACTTAAGATTTTGCCATTTTACAAGTCACCGTCCCCACCGATCAACCATGGAGTCAATTTCCGGCCTTGCTGCACCATCCCATGTGAAACAAGACACCTCTGATGAAGACCATGTGTCGGCCTCGTTTGTCGTTGTGGAACGAGAGGTTACCACAGTTGCCGGTTCACCGAAATCCGTGCTTGCTTCAGCGACAGTCATCGAACGGGTCATCTCTCGCCCTGCGGCCTCCAATCGCGATGATCCCTCCTCCAGTCAAACTTCTCCTTCGTCTAGTGTCGGAACTAATGATTCGGACGTTTCGAGTAATATTCCACATATTATCGTCTCGGGGGCATCACCAACAGCTGCGGAGCCATCGCTACCGACTCATATTCTGTGTGACGCTCATGTTCTGCCGAATTCGCCAACATCGGAAGCCACAGCCAGGGCGGCCGCCGGTCAAATTGCGGAGTCTGGCAAATCGATAGGCATACCTCAAAGCGGTATACCCGAGTCTACATACGACTGGTCCAATGCCGAGAAAGAGTTCGAAGAAACGCTTCCGTCTAGTATAGGACACTACGTCAGGAAGACGCTCATGTCAGTGCTCTTTTTTCACTCGGTTTAATGATAAGTAACATCTAGTGGTCAGAGACGAATTTACCCCTGCAAAATTCACAGTACCTGCTATGCAAACTGACTTCAACACATATAGGTGCATCTCGCCTCAAACGTACGTGTACCATCTAACGAGGCCTGCAGAATTTGACGAGTCGTCGTAGCGGAGAGGAAGAAGTTCTGCCTGTGGGTTGGACGAAGCATACGCATTCAGACGGTAAACCGTATTTTTATCATGACCGGGATGTGGGTCTTTCCAGTTTGATCATGGAATTGAATCTGAGATTTCTGATAGAAAGTGATTACAGAAGAGTGGTTATATGAGAGAGACATTGCCGAGAAGGTAGCCAGATACATCAGCATACTCAAGGACGCCATTTCCAAAAGGTCCCAATCCTTCGATCGCCTCAAATTCTGGCATATATATGTAGAAATTGCGCAGTACGAGCGGCCTGGGAGGTGCGGCGGTAACCGGCAATTTCGTTGCAGATATTACTTTGTCAACCACGATGCGGAGTGCATCTTCTGGCTCTTCGAGTGCAGGCTGGATATTTATCTGCGGGAGCTCAGAGGAGGAATGAGCCCTGATTTGATCCGAAGTAAGTTGCTTGAACACGTTGCGCCGCGAGGCTGACTTATTCCCGAGGATACCTACAGAAAGAATACTGGTAATTCCCTTCACATTCTTTGATGGTTGTCGATAGTGATATCTCCAAGGAAACATCACTATTTTTTCAGCGACCTTCACCGACTTACGAAAGCACAGTGGAATACAGTCCACAAATCCATTTTACTTGCTGAAACAGGTTAATTCTTTATCTTCGTCCCCCATCGTGCAATGTAGAACTCAACTCTTCTTTTCCCCAGATGTAACCATGTCCCCAACTTCAACTGTGACTTGCGGAATTGACACGCTGAAGACCATGAGAGAAACGATTTTTAGAGCAGAAAGTAAGACACCCATTGTCTCTATTTTATGATGGATATCATTGACGTAACCTTCATCTCAGAATTAGACGCATCCGAAGTGGCAGGCAAGCCTAGTCTATCATATCTACCAGCTCTTTTCGCTGAAACAACCTTCAGCGGCGTACATGATGGCTTTGTGTGAGTTTCACATCTGCCTCTGTTGCTCAGCACCAACCGATTGTAATGACCAGTACGCCTTCAAATTCTCAACTATCACGGTCAACGGGATGCTCGAACCGATCTGAGTGAATCTGTGTTCAGACACGATCATAACAACGTGAAGCGCACCGTTCCGTTCAGGACGATGAACCTCTTACTATTCTATGCGCCGATTAAACACTACACTTCATTACATGAGGTCTGGGTGGATAAACTTATTTCAAGGGGGCCGTGGCAGCGTCTCATAGAGCAGATTACGGATAAATGGCAACAATACGTCGGCCTGGTGCGTGTGATTCTTTGATATGCTCTAAGGCAAAGTTGTATGATGACACGACTAGGCGACCATCCTTCTTGCGGTCAATATGGCCTTTCTCGCTATACCTTCGGTCGACGAGATGGGTCCGGGTCAACAGCACCGTTTTGTGACCCAAATTCTATGCTATCTATCTGTCGCCAGTAGCATGGCTACTATCATCCTCGGCCTTATGCTCGTGAGCCACCACAACGCCCTGAAGCATGTCGACGTTGTAGTCGTGGTGCGCTTTGTCTCTTCGTACTTTAATGTCGATCTCACTGCCTCACAGACGGGTTTTCTCCAGCGGCACTGGCAGGAACATATAGGGTTTGAACGATTGTCGATCGTGTACAGCACTCCTTATGCACTTCTTATGTGGGGGTAAGTCCACGATTTCTGAATTTCGTCTCCTTAACTAATGCAGGAGGTCAGCATGGTATCTTTTCTTGCATCATTCTTCTTGATGTGCTTGGAATCTGGCCACCCGGTTTCGCTGAGAGTTTTTGTGACATTAGCGTTCCTTTTGGGGACTGCGCTCTGTGTGTGGTGCATTTACCTGTTCTGGGACGGCAGCGATCAGTGGATACAGCAATGCTTGGATTTTCGACCAGGATCTCGTTCAATCCTGTCGTATAATAACATTCGCCGATTTCGAGATAAACTCCGACGGGCAGTCTTTAGGACGACGGAACCCATCTTACCTACCACGTCTGGCGGAGCGGTGTGAGTTGAGGATAAAACAAAGAGACAACGTGGGGTCGGAAGCTTTTCATGTCTTTCTTTCGTACTTATGCCTGTATGTGCCATCCCTTTGTATGCTCCATAGACTTGAACATAGAGGTTTTGTTACTGTGTTTTTTTACTCCATGGCGCATGTAGCTTTTACCTAACTCATTGCGATATTAGTGTTGATGGAGACCTCGCCCCTAAACCAATGACGTTGTTTCTCGTGGACGAGATCCGCAGAAAAACTACGGCACTTGAGTCGTGGTGTGCGGGTTGAACGTTTGAATGTCGAGTAATGGCGCGGGAAGATATTAAGTGCGAGAAATATACTGTTTCCTATCAAAACAGTTTCTTGATGATATAGGTCTGACTGGATTCTGGATTTGTAGTGTGCAGTGTGCAGTGTGAATAGCTGTGCATACTGACAACTGGTTAAGCAGGGTGGCACACAAAACCTAGGTTTTGATACTCTGAGGTACCCGTTGATTACCGCCGGGATACCTCTCCTTGATAGATGAATTTTTGTTATTTACCGTAATAAACCTCCCCTCCTGGACAGGGATCAGTAACAATAGTTACTTACCTCCCTGGGAGTCTCGTGCGTATCTTGGGCATTCCTTGTTTGTTAGTAGTTACGGCTCAGTACTGAGCATGTTAGCATAACTTCATCGCGTTTCCACTCTCCAGTGTCCACAGTCGCCACACTGTAGGGTAGCGCACGAAACCTAGGTTTCGTTACACTTGGGTTTATTACCGGTAAGTTACCTCCCCTCGCTGGAGGGGTTTTCCGTCGAGGTAACTTACACATCATGTGACTACCTGATAAGCATGAAAATTCAATACAATTACATGTATATTCTGCATACGTGGTGCAGGGGTGAATATTCAATGTGTTCAGATGACTTAGAGCATCCTCGACAAAGAAAATGTCCTAAAACACGAACACGGACGTCCTGAAAAAATAATTTATAGTTGCCGCGCGTCCGTCATGTGATTGCGCACGTGATAGGTAAGTAACGGTAAATTACCGTATCAAAACACCCCCTTGGGGAGGGGTCGGTAACAAACGGTAAGTTACCCCCCTTGGAGGTTTCGTGCGCAACCCTACACCACAGACCACAAGTTCAAAAAGTCTTCCTTCAACTTGACTCTCTGGCTGGGAGTCGAACCCAGCTTTCGCGCGCGCATAAATGCAAAGGAATGACAGGCGCGTGTACTAACCGACATACTACCAGAGATACCGACCAGTTTCCGAGACTAACAATAATAGGTGAACTAAGTATTGCGAATGGCGAATGACCAACGACAAGTTCGGAACACAAATATAGTGAATACGATTCTGTCTGACAGAACGCCCCTTAATTTGGTACCGAGCTTATATCCATTCACAAACTCGTATAGCGTCGTCGTCGCCATTGCTCTGCTGAGGAGAGATTTGAAGCGCGCTGGAAAGACAAAGACCACTAACGATACATTCCTCAACTCATATACTTGGTCACCCATCTTTGGGAGGGCCCACTCTCTGGGGAGCGTCAACATCAGGCAATGTGGAACCATTAGAATCCTAAGAATCCAAAGGTAGCATCAAACCATACTTAATTCGAATGTCTTCCGGAAGCTCGATATCTTCCATGCTCGCCAGACTTCCATGCAATTGAGTAGCGCATCATTTGTTGCTCCCGAATGATCCTGGAACGATACAGATACATATAGACTGACACTTGAGAACAGAAACAGCGATCGCGTAGCCTATCCAAGATTGGCTGGCGTGGGAATACCTCTACCGTAGGCATGGTACTGAAAGCCGTTAGAAAGAGTCCTTCCACGCGCATCGAAGTAGTCTGCAGCCATTGAAAAAACTCCCGCTAGTGAGGCTTGGGGTCAAGTGGAGACCCCGTATCAACCAGAGTTCTGGAATAGGTGACATCGACGCTCTCCTACGTTGCAGGTAATGTACAACCAATAGCCTGAACATACGGCTGTCTAGACAATGGCTGCCATTGTCGTCATCGTGACGGTCGTCCCGACAAGCTGCCTCGAGGTCTTCTTCGTTCAACGTTTGGGAAGTGCGTTTTTCGTGATTTAGGCACACTTGTCGAATGTGGGCCGGTATCAGTGGGAGGGGAAGAGGCAGGGGCAGGGTACGGTCGGAGGGGGATCGTCGATGTAGGTCGTCGTGGCGTGCTGCTTCCTACCGGGTGTGCTTGACCCGGACGCGGACGTTGTGGACCCCGTCGTTGGGGAACCAGACTCGCCCATGCCCATGTTCAAGTTCAGTATGCTGGGAAAGTAGGTGTTTAAGAATTCGTTGACGATTAGGTCTGCAATTTCTAAAAAGAGGCGGTTCATTGAACGAGTTTATTGTGAAGAACGCTTGTAGTGCATACCTTGGGAATAGGTGCTTCAGCGTTACGAACGCTTGTGCTTTACGACGTAGATAGGTAGGATTGTGACACGACACGTGATTGAGTTAGGTTGAACATAATTTCAAATTTGTCATTTAAGGATGCTACACTGCTCTTGCCATGCTATCACGACAATGACTTTCACTGCTGGCCACAAATCTCTGATGGTGCACGGGCGGAGTACTGGAAGTCTTGTTATGGGTGGCACAGATGCGAGTGTATCAAGAAAATCTTGGAATAGCTCATTCACTAAATCGTCTTCTCTCTTTCAGGAAAGACGTGTACAATTCTCTTCCTTTCCCTTCTCCCAACTTCGGGATTTGAATCAGCATATCAAATCTTATGGACAAAGTAGAATTGCGACTCTCAGAAATGTGATCCTCAGCCGGCCGCATTCGAGAGCTGTTGGAGTTCAGTGAACAACGTAAACTTTTGAATGTCTTAGCCGAAATCAGGATTCTCGACTCTCGAGATCCATTGGGCTTGAGAAATGGTGGAGAGCTGTCGGATGGCCACTTGGAATTTGAAGCTTGGATTCAAACCGGCGTTAGAACACCACATCTTTCGAAAGGACATTATCCAGCCTCAAGCTCAAGCACAGGGCTTATAGAATAGGAACGTAAGAGTCATGTGCATGAGCACCCAGGTACTCAAGACGAACTATGTTGTCGTGAAAAGGTACGTACGGTCTTTCGCTCGCACAGAGTTCTTCATGAACTATGCTTGGCACAGCAGACGTCCGCATCTGACTCCTCCGAGCTCTCAATAATACCTCAGGCAACGGAAGGTCTTCCTGATTTCTGCATAGGGCTTACTAAGATGCTAACACATCCCGTTGTCCAGAACTAAGAGCCTTCATATGTAACAAACTTCGCTTCGAGAGCGAGTCAGGTGTTGTATCCCATGCACAGTACAGCCTGTAGGCTCCTTCTAAAGTAGGAGATCCTTCAATGTCATATGTTCGTCGACATTCATTGTATTTGAACCCCACAGAGAAGTCGAATTCCTCTACAATAGGTTTCTGCCACAGTCGACCAGACCTGGATCCCATCTATCGGAATCCCGAGTGTGCGCTGCTTCTCTTGACAGTAAACTTCACCGGGTTTACGTTTGTACGCAACATGTGAGTACAAGTTACGCCCATTGTTTATGGAGAAGAATACGTTAGAATACAAGTCGATGGTGACTCAGTAAATACAGAGGTCTGTTTGGCTATACGCTTCACGTTTCGCCGGTCATGACGTTGACCTAGATTTCTGTCATCAACTCAATAGTCATGACGAAAGACATGACATGAACATTCCCTCTGTCTCGAGAGCTATGTCACGGTCCCAGATCCCAGCCTGGGCGTATACTTGAAGTAGATTCAATAGAAGTTGGTCGGTATTTAAACAAGCAAAACGTTTGGCTTTCGGGGCTCAAGCACCAGCTTTGTTCAGTGCCCCGCACTTCAACATGTCTATCAAGGGTATGCTTCTATTGTGAACCCATACTCGAGCTCATACCATCTTTGGTACAGATACCAACCCCGATAACTCGTCCTCCGTCCCTGCTATCAAAAGCGTCGACGACAAATTAGATGAGGAGACTCCACCGACGGTACCCACTCCACGAAGTAGGTATTCTGCAGGTTCACGTTGCCTCATGTATATTAATTTTTGCAAAGGTGACCCTGATACTGTCTACCTACTTCCCAAGTGGTTGTACATCCGCGACAGAGATGGTCGCTATCTCTCTGTCCGGAACGGCCCGACTTACGGTACTGTTACCTTCCGCTCGGGTGATGCGGACAATAGTAGCGCCTTTCAGGCCATCCCTGATGGATCCCGATACTACTTCCAGGGAGACAATTCCCATCATATCACGCGTTACTACAATGGGTGGTTGAGCTGTGATGGAGACGTGGGGTCTTCTTCTTTACCCGCTGGTTCCTACGAAGTTATCACAACGTCTGGGAACTACGTTTACTTGAAGGACAACTTTTCTGGCCCAGCTCGATTCCCGTCCAGCGATCTGGATCAAAACGGGCGTCCTATCTGCTACGACTACATCAGAGACTCTTCTCGATTCGAAGTCGTTCAGGCCGCTATCAAGAACGAGATTGTCAACGTCCAATACGACATAAACGGTGCCGCGGTCCGCGAAGTGGCTCCAGTCATTGCCCTCAGTACCTCGGTTCGCAATGATTCCGATGGTGACGCCAGCCAGGCCCTCCAGTATTCCTACGAGAAGTCGAAAGTTGGCACTTGGAACAATACAGCTGGCGTTACAATCGGGACGTCTATGTCATTTTCAGCAGGTGTACCATTTGTTGCCAGCGCTGATTAAGAAATATCGGTCTCCGCGTCCTATTCTCACGAATGGGGTGGCGAAGAAGGCATCACCGAAACCGTAACATCGACCACTACCGTCATTGTCCCTCCGAAGAAGAAGGCGCGGGCTACCATTATCGTCAGGAACGCTCAGATTGACGTTGGGTTTACCTACACGGAGAGGATCCTGTGGGCAAATGGGACAAATGAAGAGACAAAGAAGACAGGCATCTACGAGAACGTGGACTCCTGGCACGTTGACGTTCAGCTTGATAACTGGGAGGATGCGTAATGATGACTCTGGTGAGCATCAAATTTCTTTCATAGCTAGTCTATGCTTACTACGGGAATTAACGTCTCGAATTCCAATTACGCAGAAATGATTTCGTTGAGCGAAGTGTCGAAAGAAGTATTGGGGAATGTACGATATATCCTGAACGAGTTTGAAATTGTCTTGTTTTTCTAGTCGTCGAGAATTGTACTTGTGTTTTCCTTGTTTTTTCTTTTTTTCATGTGATTTTCAGGGGGTTTGTAACCGTTTCGTCTGCCAATATTTCAATAGCTGTGAAGTTTCTGTTATAATTCAGAATTTATTTTAGGATGTTACGGCGTACTCAGCTTGCAAATTTCAACCATGCAAAATCTCCTGAAGGTCTTGAATCAGCAACATCTAGGATTCTAATTAAAAATCTCGAAACGTGTCGCATTCGTCGTACAGCTCTGACGGGTCTGAATTTTCCTTGGCAGTCGAAATATCTGGATCGATACGTAGAATCATCATGGAAGTCATCGTATTCGTCAGGCTCGTCAGAACTGGGAACATTTGGGAGGAAGATCTTGTGAAGGAGACTAAGGCCGTCGGCCCCTTCGTCCTTGTCTTCTTCCCAACCGGGTTGTTCTTCGTCGTCAAGGATTCGGTAAGCCCAACCGTGTTTATAGCAGCCTTAACGAGTTCGGAATAGTCAAAATTCTCCTAGAGACACTTGAAGATAAAGACGGCAAACTTTCTAGACGATAGGTACCGAGTAGTCGCGTAGCTCTGTCGGTACATATGCATGAGCATCGCAACTGGTTGGATAGTAACATTTACCCCACAGACTTGGAGAGCTGCAGAGGCCTTCTGGCCCGCGGGTATGAAGTTTCTGGGTACGTGCTAGGTAACGTATAATAGAGAGCCTTGGGGTAAAGTGTACTGGGTCCACGTCGTATTGGGCGTACGTAGACAGAGTAGAATCTGCGATTTAGATGTACTTCATCATCAATCTAAGAGAGCGCGACCTTTCATAGCGCGACACTGTAGGACGTAGAAGTGCAACTTACTTCCACACAAACCAGCATACCACTTGTCCTGCAGACCATAGACCCTCTTCATAGTCTCTTCTTTTCCTTCATTACAGTACAATCACAGAGCTGCTGTTATGTTGATGAAAAAGGCGAAATAATAGCGACGAGGAGGCACAAAAGGTTTTTGACTGGTACGCCGAGATACTATTAGAGACTCAGCGAAGGAAAGGACCAAGA